AAACCTATAAATTTTTGGCTCTGTGGAGCTCTTCTTATATATATACTTAACAAGATCCCGCGATAAAAGTTTATTAAAGTTAATTATTTTGTTTATAACAATTTTTTAAAGTTAACAAAAAATGAAAAGTCTAAGAAATGTTATTAAAAAAAAATTTTTAAACAAATGTTATATTATTGCTGCTTTCTTATCCAACAATGGCATTAAGTAACATCGGAAAAAAATTTTTTACATCATTTGTTAAGAAATTGTTTATAAACAAATAGACAAGTTTAATATTTTAAGAAATTTTTTTTTTACCATTATGTTGTCTTGGCAAAATAATGATTTAAAAAAAAATTTTTTCTTAAATAATTTTTTTTATTGTTTATAATCGTTTTTTTTATATTTCGATTGTTTAAATAATTAGTTAAGGAATGATTTTCTCTTTAAAAATCATAATTGGCATTTCTTCATAGGTAAATAGATTTTTTTTTTTTTTTATCAATAATTTCATTGTTTGTTAACTTAACAATTTGTTATAAACAAATTCTAACTACCGTTATATTGTTTTTTCCAGAGCTAAAAAAATAACAAAAACAGCCATATATATCAAAATACTAAAAAAAAATTTTTCTATTTTTTATAACGCTTTTAAATATTACACGATACCAAAGTTGCACCGGACACTTGATTTGTCAAGTAAAAAATTAATATAACTTATAAACTATTCGAGATACGATAATGGACATTCAGGTCGTTTTTATAAAGCATTAATTAATCTTCAAAATAAGCTAAAAACCAAGTTTGTAGCTATTGTTTATCAGCTAATACATGCATTTGTTTATAAAATTTTGAGATTTCTTTAACTTTTTCGTAACTCTTATGACTTACAACTTAATAAATAATTAAAATACTTAATAAGTGGAAGGGGACGGGCAGACGGACATGCCGAAACTATAAGGGTTCCACAAACAATATTTTCTCTCACTAAGGGGACTATTTCGGGATCTATTTATTGGCATATAACTTGTTCTGTTTTTGTGCAATGAGGCGAGTATGCTTAGGAGTAGTACCTAAGTCCTGCATACTCACTGAACATGGCGTAGGTATATCTCTGGAACACCGAATTCAGTTTTTTGTCACTATTTTTTGACATATAAATAATAGTTATAGCTTACATGACAGAGGTATTATGTCTCTCTTTTTCCCTCATATTATAAACAAGGAATAAGCTTAGACTAGTTACGCTGTGTTTTGTTCTTGTCACTGAAATGGCACATGTCATTCGATGAACAGAGACAGAACATGGAGTAACAAATCCAAGCTTATTCTTCGTTTATTAATAAGGGGGTTTAAGTATAAGAGCTAAATTCTTTTCCTTTGGATTCTATTTGAGAACTATTTTTGGCAATCTCTAAAAACCGGAATTCCATGGTGAGTAGGTACACTAATAAGGAACATGCTTTGCAAATCAATTATAATTGATTTGCAAAGCATGTTCCTACTTAGGACTATTAGCTAATAGCGTTATTATTATAAGGCTAATAATAGTTTATTCTGGGGTTAAGTGATTAATTAATTTTAACCCTTAGAATAATAACGTTTAAATCATTTATTTGGCATCTCATTACTCGATTCATCGTTAAGGTAGGTACTTACACCATTAACATATTAACACGAACAATGGCAAAATATGTAAGATTTAGTTAATCACTAAAGTTGTTACTTGATTATATGGTGCTTATGTAGCAAAATGTTTTTGTGCGTAAATCGTTCCGTAGCCTAATTTTGAATTTTAATTAGTCTTATTTGGATTTTTATCACAAATACAAATATCCTCGTTAAGGTGTGCCTATGGAAAAGGTTAAAAAGGTACCTATATTATAAGTGTTAATTACACCTTTGTTTGAACATGGGATCTTTTTCGTGAATGTATGAATAATGTTTTTATAAGGTAACTGTCCTAATGAGGATCCGTAACGATTTTAGTTTAGAATGCAGATTTATAGTGTTAAGGATTCCATAAAATACAGCGTTTCAATTTTTCACGACAAATATTGGCAGTTATGACTTAATTACTAAACGAATTTTATGACTGGCCCGTGCGGTGGATGTGACGTCACAGAGCTCTAGCGCCCGGCTCGCGCTAGGTATGTCTTCTTTTAGGGTTCCGTACCCAAAGGGTAATAACAGGGCCCTATTACTAAGACTCTGCTCTCCGTCTGTCTGTCACCGGACTGTATCTCATGAACCGTGACAGCTAGACAGTTGATATTTTCACAGATGATGTATTAGTGTTGCCGCTGTAACAACAAATACTAAAAATAGAATAAGTAAATAAATTTTATAAATAAATTAATTAAATTTAAATAAATATTTAAGGGGGGCCCCATACAACAGCAAAAACGCTTTTTACTTGATATTATAATATAGTGTCTAATATGTAGTTTATAGTATAGTATGTACTTATAGCGTGGAACCCATCGAGTCCGACTTGCACTAGGTCCGTTTTCAAGGTTTACTTACTATTAAAATAATAATTATAGTGAGTATAATAATAATACTCCCTATATTTTTTTTTAAATTAATGCAGGTGCGACAACTAGCTAATAATCACCAGGCTGTAATCTCAAAAACCGTAATGGCTAGACAATTGAAATTTTCACAGATGGTGTATATCAATTGCCGTTATAACAACAAATACTAAAAATAGAATAAAATATATATATTTAAGGGTTACTCCGTAACAACAAACGTATATTTTTTTCTATTTTTTGCTCTATATTTTCGCAGAATATTTAATTGTATATTTTCTTTAAAAATAAACTAAAATGTCATTTTTTAGGGAGCTCCCATACAACAGACGTATGGCATTTACGCAATGGACATTTATAAATTTATTGGGTTGTTGTTTAGTGTTTATTATTTAGTTTTAAGGTCGTATATAATGTTGATGATGCATTTAGTACTTATAGGCGATTATATTAATATCGGCCGAAATTTACATTGTAAACCTGCCAAGTGTGTGTCGTGCCACGCGCAGTGTAGGGTTCCGTAGTTGTCCGTCACACAGTGTTTTATGGAACCAAAAAAATTTACATGTTCAGGTTTTTACATAAATAGATTATTTGTACCCTAAAAAAGGCATGAGTTCAATTCCCAGAAGTCTAACTCAAATACTTTTTGAGAAAAAAAATCATGAACTTATCGTGACCTTTGACCTAAGAAATCTAGAATAGTTTTTTATAAAGTGAATATTAACAATATATTTTTTTAATAAATATGTGTCAATCGGGCATAATCAGAGGCGTATAAACGCGTTTCTTTAGCTTAAAAAAATGCATTGGTTTGGGAGCAGCAATTTTTTTTGTATTTCGTATTTATTGTTTTTTCTCCCTAAAAACGAAAAAGTGGAACCTAGAACTTCGATAGAAATAAACCTATGGATGTGGTCTTTCATACATAAATAAGCCACGTGTCACTTTTGCGGCGATTAGAAGATATTCATTTTTAAATTTTTATGCTAGGGTTGACACCGAACCTGACCTCGAACGAAAATTTTTAAAATATAAATTTGTGTATTAGTTTTGAACGAGTTTACAATAATGTAGATTTTAGGAACTTACTACAGTACCTTTAACATATTTTTATGGGCTCCAAGCTCTATTTGCAAAAAAGGAACGCTTATGGTGATTCCCAGTCAAGGCGGAAGTCATTATAATGAATATCGATTTTCGTTTTCGGGTCTGAGTATTAACTATTAATTGTTTGTTTTGTGTGTGTTTTGGAGACCCAATTAGACACAAGTTCATGCCTGCTTACCTCTACGTTTTTTTTTTGTAACAATAATAGTTACACCTACTAACTGATTTATGCCCAAGATTTGTTTTTATTTTCTGATCGAATGCCTGAATGATTCTGAATGAATTTTGAAATTTTTTTCAAGCAACATAGTTCATTTTTTCGTTACCGTTTAGCGTGTAAGGTACAAAGTTAAAATGTGGTCGAACAAACATAAAGTATTCCTACATTATCACATCTACATTAGGTAGGTACCTAGTATATGTAAGTATATTATATTCGTCCACAAGTGTTGTTTATTTATTCAATTGATTGACGGTATTAATTATCAAACAAAAAATTTAACATTTTCATTTAACTCATAGTTGACCTTTGTGACAATCCTAGATCATGAAAGTTGACCTTTATCTAAATTCTGTCATAACTTCTTAAAACCGCAAAAGTGAAACCTTATTTTTTTATGGGTGATAGAACTTGGCTTATAGAACCTTTCTATACTAAATCCAGGTTCCACTTTTGCCGATATTTGGAGAAAAAAAATAAAAATCGAAATTAAAAAAATATATATTTCTCGGAAACTAGGACACTTATAAATCAAATAAAATTGCAAAATTATGCCTTCAATAATTCCTTATCAAGTGGCAAATATCTCATGTACAGATATGGAACCGTCTTTTGAGGAAATTAAATTGTTAATTTTTTAATGCTCAAATTTCAAAAACTTTGCTACTTCATATCTTTTTTTTTACTGGAAATAGTGATCTAAGAATTGAACTCTTGCCTTTATTAAGGTATAAATAATTGATTTATGCAAAAATATTAAGGTGTAAATTTTTTTGGTTCCATAAAACACTGTGCGTCATTATCACAATATATTTCAGAAGTAGCAGAAGCAGTAATTGCTTGTCCTCTCACTATATTATTATGTACTTTGTAATTTAGAATTACATAAACTAGGGAAAGACAATCAGTGAAAAACTCCTTTTGGACTTAATATTTAATACATAAGTATTTATTTACAACCATCAGTCGACAAAAACAGAAATGTGTCTAGGAAAAAATTTTAGATGTTTAATTTTCTGTATTTCATTAAATGTGCATATTATTGCAATGCAACTTGCTTTGGTTTGCTACAAATCTAGCAAACTCAATAAACATAGGTAAAGAAGTATCACAATATTGTATTAAATTTATATATTGACAACAGAAAATATGCTTGCTATAATTATGTTTAAATAAAATTTGCTAGTATGGTCACATTTTCCATTTCCTTATTTTCATAAAATAAAATCTAGAAAATAGTCTTGAGTTCAATGTTAATATTATCCTCCCTTCTTCCACTTTTCTCCTGGAGTATACTCAGTCATAGGCCTACCAGAGATACCACAAGTGCCAATGCCTACTCTCCCAGCCAAATTATCGGGTGAAGCAAATATACTTTTGTTACGGACACCAGGCTTCTTTGCTGCTTTGGAGTGGAAATTTAACCATTTGTTCTTTTCAGTTTCTCTTTCTTCTTCAATTTGTTTAAATCTCTGTTGTTTCTTCTGCTTTTTCTTCTTCAAATATTCTCTATTGTAGCCTTTGCCATGCCTGCAAAATAAAGGAACTTTTACTAATGATACTACTACAGTTTTAGATTTTTCTTAAGTACTTGCAGTACATAATAATTATATTGAAAGATAGATTATGAAAAATAAAGCTAAACGCAAACAAAAATTTTGAACATTACAAACTATTTCCAGTAATATAATCTACATACAATGATTGCTTTCTTATAGAAACTTTCTTGCACTAACTAACTGAAGCTATGAAAGCTTCAAAGTTACCTTTAAACAAATAAATATAAATATTTCCAACACTCACACCAATTAGCCTAGCCCCAAAGTAAGCACTTTAAGGCTTGTGTTATGGGATACTAGGGTAACAGATAGAATACATATTATACTGTACACATTTAAGTATATTTATATAGAAATACTTATTAAACATCCATGACTGGAGTACAAATACTCATATTCATCACACAAACATCTGCCCCCACCGGGATTTGAACCTGGGCCCTATCGAGTCGGCGACACCATGAAACCTAGTGTACAAACCACTCGGCCATGGAGATCATCAAATATACCACATAACAAGTACCTAAAAAGACTCCATGGTACTCTTGTCAAAATATGTTTTATTATTAATAGTGAAGGAATAATTACTTTATCATTTATAATATAAATATGGATTATAATACTACAATCCCGCATGAAGTGTGAGATTCCATGGACAACTGATATTTAAACCGATTTGTAACTAAACTATTTAGCAGTCCTGTGGATTGCTAAGAATATGCAATGAAATTTGAATAAAAGTTATATGTAATGCTGATTTGTAATCATCAAGAGCTTTCTCAATTAAAAGATATTTTAAATTTTCTTTCATTCCATTTGTGTATTGTAACAATTATATTTTGAAACACATAATTTATTTTGTATCCTCATGGGACAAAGATGCTTCAGAGAGTTTTTGAATCATAAGAATCAATGGTACAAGAAAAATGTTATATAATTCTATTTAGAACTTCCTATTGGTAGACTAGCTGTTATTGATAATTATGCAGTGAAACATACATAAATTATATTGTTTTCTTAAATCCCTTAATGACACTATTATAAAACGAAAAATTAATTTGTTCTAAGAGCTGCTATTGTCATATGCATACAATGGAAAATGTGTTTTTTTTATTGGCAAAAAGATTGTTCAATTTTTATCAAGTACTCTATATATGACTAAAGAAAGGAGCTTTAGAGGAACTATCACAATTACAATATCCTTATAAATCTACCAAAAAACATAACATTTCTTCTTAAAAAAGACATTACTTACTTGCTTTCATCTCCACTCAGAGGGCGCTTCAAGCTTAGATGTTTGATATCATGAATGGAAACTGTTTCTAATGTAGTATAACCATCAAATTTCACTTTTAAATTATCATCACCAATTTCTTCAATAAGAGCTTCATAAAATCTGGAATGATTTGTTTAGATAAGAAAATAAATACCTATTAAAACTTTGGATATAGGTATCATTACTATTATTAGAAACAACAATTTATATGTATTTATTGTAACCAATTGACTTGAATAAAACTAAGCTTACTTGACTAATAATTCAAAGAACACAAGAACTACTTACGCCCCATCGGATCTCCATTTCGCAAGACATTTATCTCCAACGCGCCATTTGGTATATTGTGACGAATCTCCCGTGTCGCCTTCCTCCGCTGCTAGCAGGGACGCTGTAACATCATCATCATTACTAGAACTATGAACATTAGATGCTCTGGATTCACCATCTTGTGTTTTTATTAGATCTTGGGTCAATTCAATTACTTCTTCTAAGTCCGCTTTAAGCTTCAGTAGCTCCTCATTTTGTGGATCCGTCAGTAAAGCGGCCTCCACCTGAAAATACCACGACAAAAATTTAATGGGTTAACAAGCTGTCAAAATTTTATTTTTTCAAGCACTCGAACGAAATCGACTGTTGTACCTGTTGCAACTGCAACTTATAATTTCTTAAATCTTCTGCCATTTAATTAGATTATTAATCAAATTGATGTTTTTCTCCAAAGCACTGCCTAAAAGAAAACTGTCAAGCTTTGGCTGCCTTTTTTTTGTTGATGGACAATTTTGTGGATTTGACGTTGATTTACACGCACAGATTAGACGGGTGAACACAGCACAGATTAGATAGGTGAACACAACACAGATAACAAATCATAGAACACAATTTTATACTCAAGAACTGGAGCGCGGAACACACCAAGACTTCTGTAGTGAGTGATCAGTGATCACTGCAGCACTGAACTGACTTAGTATGACTAAATATATTGAGTGACTACTGTACGTGTACGCCTGTGTTAGTACCATTAACTAATGGACAGAGGCGGCTTTAGGGGGGGTATTATTGGTATGGGGTGCATATAGCTGTCTCTTTTCCTCGCGGTCTGTACCTGCTATATTGCTAACAGCGCATTCAGAATTGCGCATAGAGTCAAAGAAATAAGGTCTATATTCTTGAGCATATAGCAATGAGTCGTAAAATTTTATGAGCTTGCATTTTGAAAAGTCGCATCTCTTTGATGCATGCGTTTTAATTAAGCCCTCATACAGTATGCATTGAAGGTGACTTTCAATGCTTAAATAAAGCCTTATATTGTTTTTGACTACGCGATCATCTTACAGAGCTCCGTGGATCGTCCAATACCTTTTGGATAGGTTTCGGCCATGATTTTGTTCATGATGTTGTATCTGGGGTATTTAATATCGTTGGTCGCCGTATAACCGTCTCTTTTCCTCGCGGTCCGTACCTGCTATATTGCTAACAGCGCATTCACAAATGCACGTAGAATAAAAAAAATAAGGTTTATATTCTTCCGCATACAGCAATGTCGTAAAATTTTATGAGCTTGCATTTCAAATGGTCATATGTCTTTGACTCATACGTTATAATTAAGACCTTATGCATTATGCATTAAAGGTGGCTTCCAATGTTTAAAAATGCCTTATATTTTATTTTTGAACGAGATGGCTGCATATTAATTTACTGGAGATCTGATGAGTACTTTCGGAGGAAAACAATGGAACTCCTCAATTACAAACAGTACTCAATGGGTGTTAGTTTATTTTAAGAAATATGAAAGAGAATGCAGGGCAGGCCATCTATATTTAGTTGATTTACCCAATATTGAGAAAATTCGATACATTCTAGAATTTCTAATGAGTCCCGACAGTTAAAGTAACTTTGTTCGTTATTAAACAGAATTATAGACAACTGGACTTGTATTTTTCTTTTTAGTATTTTTTTTTATTTTCTACATTTTAATTTCATTTTAATTTTAATGACACGAGTTGTATGTTTTCTAAATATTCTTTTAAAACCCTTCACTTTGATACCTCTTTGGCGGGTTATAAAAATACTTATAGTTTTTTTTTTCCAAAATGTTTCATTTTGGCGCATAAAATTTTGATTTTTTGAAATTTTAATAACCCAGTGCCACTCACACAATCACGACAAATCAAATGACACATCGCATGTCAAAATCCGTCAAAACGTTCAGGCTGTAGGGCGTGCCAAATTATTGGACATACATACATACATGCATACATACGCTCGAAGAACATTATCCTCCGCAGTCGGGCAAAAAGTAAAATTTTGTACAATTAAAACATTCTCATCTTTTTGCTGTGTTTAATTGGTAAAAAATTGGCTAACCTAGCAATTACTCACTCATCAATAGCCGCCGCCATTACGGTGCCTCAGTATTGTCTTAGCCGAAATTCTGTCCGCCTTTTTTTATACGTCCATGTTGTTAGGTAACTAAGCATACTACAATAGCAAAAGTCTTGTCTATTTATAGGAAATATCGCACACTTAGATAAAGACTAGCACAACTCTAAATATCATTTTTTTCAGGAATCGTTAAAAACGTTTTACTTCATTTCTTTTTTTAGTATAATAAAAACATTCTTCTAGGTTCTTGTATATAATTTTACGTGCATATTTATTGTGATAATGGTCTTCCACCAAGTAACAGTATTATAACACTATTTATAATTTCGGTTTTTTGAGTTAGGTTGGTATTCATGACAAAATCACAAGGACGTATAAAAAAAGGTTATAAGGTTATAAGCTTTTTTTATACGTCCATGACAAAATCATTGTTTAATATTTATTCTAAATAGATTGCGCTCATATTACTGTGTTTTTAATTAGTATACTATTAACTTGTATCGGTCTTCTACGGTCAATCTGAAACTTATAGGGATTATTATCTGTTACGAAGCCATGTGACCTTTGACCTTCACCCCGGACGGGCCCGTTCAAAAGAAAAGCCGTTTCAAAATGCTTCTTAGGGTAATATTGCTTTACGGGGTTATGTGTCTCAATAAACAGTTTGTTTTTGTTTCTTGCCCAGCATTTAGTTATTAATACAGCACAGATTATTATGTAATAAAACTACACAGTAGATAACGACACCACAGAACGTAACTTTAAATAAAAGCGTCCTTATTCAAAAGATATGGAATTAATTTAAACAGATAAAAGAAATAGTTTTAAGAAAAAGAAAACAAGAATACAATATTGTAAAGAATTACAATGAAGTCGTTTACAGCCTACAATTTAATCTTTTGTTTGACAATCGCTTAAAAGCCGCGCGCCATTAACGAGAACATCATTACACAATAAACAATACAAACTCTATTGTGGCGGGTTTTGAGGAATTCAAAGGGTTTCTGTATTTATTGGTGTTCTTGGCCGTTTTGACGTTTGTGCTTTCTTGAAGTTTTATGTTCTAAATTCTAAATTAGTTCTACATTTGAAAGAAATTATTATTATTCTTTACTGTCATTAGAGACGCGCATTTAGCAAATCGGCAATTTTAGAATTAAAGTTTTACAAAACTATTTTAAATTGAGGTCTAACTTATATTAAGGTTACGAAAACCTTTTAAGTTTAAAACAAGTAAATATAATATCAAATTTAACTTAAAAACAGGCTAGGTTCTTTGACAGAATCTTTAAAGTATTAAAAATTAATTTATATTTTATTCTTATTATCATTGAGAAATGTTATATCATACAAAAAATAACATCATTATAGTGTACTTATTCGCCACACAACTCGGCATTAGTGTTGTTCAAAGTTCAAAATGTAATTGAATCACAGGTCACTATATATGTAGCAAGATTGAATTTTCGCGTCACTATTGCAATGTTTCAAAACGGCCATAATGCCGCGACGTACAGTTTGTCTATAAAGTCGTGACATTAAATGATGGCGCCACTAGTATACATGTAGCAATCTTAAACAGTCGGACCAAAATGATTTTGATACTAGCAGTTCATTCAAGTAAAATAGGTAATTAATAAGACACACTATACAGTCGTCCGTGGTCTTCTGCCTTCTTCCGACAAGTTCGGGTGCGAAGATTACTTCTTTCCCCGGGCTGCTTCTCGTGGGGGTGCGCCCCCGCGGGGTTGGGTGCCGCTGGACAGCGGTCGTCTTGTGACGGTGTTGGTCACCAGCTCCTCATCTTCTTCTTCCTCCTGTTCTCGCCAGGAGGCTTGCGGCGCGGCCCTCAGCGCGGTCTGCCAAGCCGGGTGAGACCGTGTCCGTGATGCTAGCGTACCCACGATCAATATACGGTTTTTCGTTATGCCATTAAATACTGCGTAAATAGTGCCAAATTAGTGTAAAAATAAAAAAAAATAGTGCCTCTCTAATTTAAGAAATAAAGACCATTTTTACTGTGTACGCTACCATGACGTCAAGCTAGCGTACCCATGGCCGACCCCAAGAACGGCATATATTTAAGCAACGAAATTGACACACAAAAATAGTTCGCAAATAGTGCCCTGGCTTTACAAAATTTCATAATCAATACTCTTAAAGGACCAAAGATATTGAACTAAACATTCTTAGCTGGCGTCAACCTGGCGTACCCATAATAGTTCTCATAGAAAATGAACTTTTCTCGTTATCAATTCTATATGTATAAATAGTGTGTCAAATAGTGCCTCTAACAGTAAAAGTATTTTATGTGAATCCGCATCACAACAATACATAAAGAGGATGTTAAATTCTAGGAACAAATGTATTGTAATACAGTTACACACAAAAATAATTTATGCACTAAGATATTTTCTATATATGTATTTTTACTAAAATAAATAGGTACTTTTTATAAAAAGATATTTTATTTCAATTCGAATTCACCAATCATAAATTCATATAAGAATTTCAACCTACCTACTAAGTACCTTACTTACCTACTATACTACGAAAATATTATCACTTCTGTACATGACTGTACTTCATATATAAAAATAATTTAATTGCTTTTTTATATTGTTTTACTGCGAATTAACATAAAATACTTTTACTGTTAGAGGCACTATTTGACACACTATTTATACATATAGAATTGATAACGAGAAAAGTTCATTATCTATGAGAACTATTATGGGTACGCCAGGTTGACGCCAGCTAAGAATGTTTAGTTCAATATCTTTGGTCCTTTAAGAGTATTGATTATGAAATTTTGTAAAGCCAGGGCACTATTTGCGAACTATTTTTGTGTGTCAATTTCGTTGCTTAAATATATGCCGTTCTTGGGGTCGGCCATGGGTACCATGACGTCATGGTAGCGTACACGGTAAAAATGGTCTTTATTTCCTAAATTAAAGAGGCACTATTTTTTTTATTTTTACACTAATTTGGCATTATTTACGCAGTATTTAATGGCATAACGAAAAACCGTATATTGATCGTGGGTACGCTAGCATCACGGACACGGCGAGACCCCCTGGGGGGAGGCCCAACTAGCGCCAGCGAGCAGGCCGCGACTTATGCAAGCAGGGGTGAGGAGTAATTGTTTGGGTTTAATGGGTTGGGGAGGACGGGGGATGTGTGGGTGGGTTGGAGGGGGGTGGCGGCGAGAACAGGCTGCGTGGTGTGGGACGTGGAGCCCTTCTGTGTCGGCCGGAACCTGCGGAAGAAGCAGAATTAGTCGGGAGGGGGGCTAAGCCCTGGAGGTGAAGATACGGGCCCTGGTCGGCTCGGGAAAACATGGCCCGAGCTAGGCGGCTCACAAACTATTCGACTGGTTCGATTTTGAGGTCGCGGGCTATGACGTCATTCCGGACGTAGCGCC